CTCCTGTATTGAACAAATAAGGAGTACGTACTCCTGATGTTGAAAAATTATCTGGAGCCCTGATACACATTTTGTAGACACTTGTTTTGTTATGGAGGTATGGTTTTAAATATTTGCTTTTCTGTTTGGAAAATAGGATATTATAAACATAATGATATTCCCCTCCAAACTCATATCTGTCACATAGTATACACAGTCTTTCATTACGTGATATGGCTTGCCACCAACCTACTTCAATTGGCATAAAAATAATTTCCACATCTGAGTTTTTAACAAAGATCACCAATGATGGTCATTATGTACGAATAAGAAGTTCTCAACATTTTAGATATGTTTGGAACATTTATAAGTAACTCCTTGGATGAACTGTCCTAAGTTAGCCACTTTTGTGTATTTATGGCGTTTAAACTTAGCTTTATTAATTCTTTAATAAAGAAGATGAATGTGTGGCTTTAAGCAACAGTAACAGTTTAAGCATACAATATACACAGTGCCATTTAGAAAGTGGTCAAATGTAAATTACGTTAGATGGCTGACTTTGTGTGCTGGCGATTTGGTACCAGAGTCAGATAGTGTGGGTTCGAAACCCAAATGGGACTCAACCTAACAGAAGTAATAGATTTGGTACTTTACTGAGAAAGTGTAATCCGAAATATACCATTTACTGTAATTCTTACATATTTTCAATTGTGATTATGTGGACCAGTTGAGCTCAGTACTCCAAACAGAACTTACGACTTACGCTTCGAACTAAGTAGCTCAAGTCACAGGCTACCAGAACCAGAATGAATCCCTTTGATCATTAGCGTGTTACTCAAACTGCACAGATCATTCAAGGCTCGTTGGGAATCAACAAGTGTTTTGTCCCAAACTTTCAGAATGTTTTTTGGACATTATTAAAGAAGAAAGCTGTTTCATTTGTCAGTGTTGGATCTAAACTATCTGCAGAAAACGCTTGATGTTCGCAGGACTCTCTAATGCTTTAGATGGGTGAGTCACGAGTAAGCTATTTTACCAACCATTTGAAATAAGGAGCCTTGTGGAATGGGTTATTGTCATGCGATTGTCACATCACTGGAGTGTATACATCGACAGGCCATGTGCTAGCGAGAAAACAGATACGCCCAATCATGTGTGCAATGTCACAAGAACAGACCGACCTGAGAATGCCATTCTTGTTGGTGCAATTTTGAGAAGCAGCTTCAGAGCCATAGTCCTTCGCGACTAAGTATCTGTCACAGTTTGTAGGTTTCCATCAGTAGTTACAGTAAATGTGGGGCGATGGGGTAGCTACGTGGGTAAAGCGGTCGCTTGTCATGCTGAAGACGCGGGTTCAATCCCCTAAATGGATACAATGTGTGAAGCCCATTTCTGGTGTCCCCTGCTGTGATATTGCTTGAATATTGCTAAAAGCGTCGTAAAACTACATTCCCTCATTATAGTAAATGTTTGATATTCATGTGTTGTGAATCAACACAAAAACTTTCTGTAGCTATGTTGGTTTACATTAAGGAGTGGGCAAAGTTTAACGATGCTTTCAGCAATTTTCATGCAGTATGAAGGCGGAGGACACTAGAAAGAGGCTACCCACATTGTACAAATGGCAGAATCAAATCCATGGTTTCAGCGAGATAAGATGTTGATGGAAACGTCATGATGCATTAAAACTCTGAACAGGAGACTGTGTAAAATAATTACGAACTTGAGAATATAATGACTGCAACTTTTATGGACAACAATTTTTTCATCTGGGGGAAAAGCCATTTTGTTCTGTAATTTTACATCTTTTCACTCTAAATTTGATTCCTCATTATTTGAATTTTCATAGGTATATAATTGATTGGCTGAGGTATTTGTGAGTAGTTTTTGTGTGAAAGAGCTGAAATTAGAGGTGAGGTGAAATTGGGTTTAACGTCGTGCTTGAGAATATGTTGCTCATATGACGACATTCATGCGCGTGTGTGTGTTTGTGCGGCTGCTTGTACTAGCCCAGACTTAAGCTGGTTTTATAGTGCTAGCCCACTGAGATACCATGCCGCAGTGAAGAATGAATACTCCACTCAGACACATTATACGGACTCCGAGCCGACCAGTCCTTGTTGTACCCATTAATGCCGAGCGCCAGGCAGCAACCAACAAGTACCATATTTTAACGTCTTTTGGTATGACGCGGTCAGGGATCGAATCCGCAAACTTCCGCTCTCTTAGCGGACGCTCTAACCACTACACCACGGAGGCGGTCAGCTGAAATTAGAGTTTTGGATTATGTCTCAGTTACATCCTGCTTAAGAATTAGGGATTCTTCAGTATCATTGTAGAATGAAATGTATTCACTTGAGGGGCGGTGGGGTCGATCGTCACGCTGAAGGCCCGGGTTCGATTCTCAACATGGGTACAATTTGTGAAGCCCATTTCTGGTGTCCCCCGCTGTGATATTGCTGGAATATTGCTAAAAATGGCGTAAAACCATACTCAGTCAGTCAGTCAGTATTCACTTGATTACAGTGGGTACAGTGTGTGAAGCCAATTTCTTGTGACCCCCACCATGATATTGCTGGAATAGTGCTAAAAGTGGCATAAAACCATACTCACTCACTCACTCACTCGATGACGGGCTAAGAAGGAAGAATTCTCCACTTAAAGAAAACACATTCAAATTGTTGCACAAAGAATCTGTAATCATTGCAAAATGGTTCTGAAGCAAAAAAATATAATGTACAAAGCCAAATGACCTCAAATTCTTATGTGAGGATGTGCTGTATCATGCAAGTGTACCACTGCGTATACTGGCATATTGAATAATCCAACATATTTATGAATTCCTAGAGTGAAATTGGTCTGGGACTGAAATGTCAAATTGGTGGTGAGCTCCAGTACCCTGGGGCCAGCTGGTGGTGATGGGGGGGTTGATGAAATAGTGGGTAGACTGGCAGGGCACTATAATCAGCTAAAATATTCCAGGAAGTGCACCAGCTTTACATTGGATATTCTAAGCAGTGCACTAGTATGGAATAGGATATTCTAGGTAGTGCAATATTTTAACTTAGGACATTCTTAAAAGTGCACAATCATAGCTAGTACTTTCCATGTAGTTCACAATCATTTGGGTAGAACTTCTTGTACATCCGTTGTTGTTGGATATTATTTTCTAAGCAGTCAACTGAATATTCTGTGCAGTATGAAAGGTTAAGCTGGGATGTACTCAAGCTCTAGGACATGTGCTACCATAATCCTATGGCCATTTGTGATGATAACCTGGTAGGGTTGCTAAATCCTTGCCACAAATTTGACTTACTCAAGTACAGATGGTGAGAAGGCATAAGTTCATGTAACTGTACATGCACAACATTTGGTATTTAACATTACTGAAGGCAATAAGAACTTAGCACAAATCCCAATTTGGGGCAAAATAATGATATTTTAACACATTGGAGGACAAGGTCAATTAGTTTTAAATCCTAGATAAATACCTGAATTATTTACGATGTTTTTATCAATATAAGGTAATAATATCTATTGATGATTAGTATGGTGAAGTGAAGTGGACCCGTGAAGATCCGGGGTAGAATAGGTCTTCAGCAACCCATGTGCTTGCCATAAAAAGGCGACTATCTTGTCGTAAGAGGCGACTAACGGGATCGGGTGGTCAGTTTCGCTGACTTGGTTGACACATGTCATCGGTTCCCAATTGCGCAGATCGATGCTCATGCTGTTGATCACTGGATTGTCTGGTCCAGACTCGATTATTTACAGACCACCGCCATATAGCTGGAATATTGCTGAGTGCGGCGTAAAACTAAACTCACTCACTCACTCACTCACTCCTTGCATGAGGTATATATTAATGAATGATATAAATAAAAAAAATAATTTTTTTTAACTATAATAACAATAGGATATTTTAACAAAATTACCCATAGTGCACTAGTGATCATAGCAAGTCGGGAAAACAACCCCTTGTCTTTCATGCTTATTTCAAACGCAGGTTATTTATGGGATCAATCCGCCATGCTGGATCTACCTGCCGGAATGCAGATTCTTCCTGTAAACATGTATTCATTTTGGTCATAAATACAAGTAATGGTATTTTACCACGAGTTTACACAGAAGCAAATAAAGAAAATGGGCTTATAGAAATTGGTCTGTGCAGATTTTACATACAACATGGTCATGGTTTTCTATATACACAAGTCAATCCGCACTTTTCTAAAGACTCATTACACAAAACCCACATTGTTAGCCAGTGTCAACTGGTCCATTGTCGGGTATCAGCACAGCGGCATGCTGTTATGGAACGATAATGTACATTAGGCTTCTGTTCCCAGGAACTCAGGAGATTTTCATTTGCTGGAAATCCCCTAGATGTTGTAAGTATCACAGCCAGGGTCCTGAGCGATCATAGAACTCTACAACCGGCCACGTTCTCTTTCAGCACGCCGCCACTTCGATCAGCGAGCTCCCAACACTTGACCATAGTCCTGTAGAAGGCAAGGAGCCATGTTAAAGAATATTGATTTACCTTGCACGCTTCTCCAAATTTCTTGCAACGACCTTGACCCTCACCTTACATAGGGCTCAGCCTGTGAAGCCAATTAATAGTGCAATTGGGCAAAATATCTGCCGAGTATGCAGTTTATCCTGCATGATGGATTCCGCCTTTATTCTTGTCCTGAGGAGATAATGAATTGATGTTTCATCGGTGCGTTATTGAAGATGTCCATGTGAAAAACACAGATCAGCCGAGACTAGAAACCGACTCCCATGTTACAGTGTGTGTCAATGTTTGTCGTGCAGTTTACAGATATACCTGGGGATTTTTGTATAGAACATAGATGTCATCTCAACAACCATTCATGAAATGTTTGGTGTTGTTCCAGCAGTGTATGCACTGACGGAAATAAATGCCCTCATGAATTATTCAGAATCTTTTTACCAGGCTTAAGCTTCTCATCCTGTTGCTATCCTTGACCAATGTTATTAATGGCTGCTTTGTTTTTCAGCGTCTCGAAAGGTTGAGTGCATCATGGCAGTTAGCTAAAGCTGAGGTGCGGCAGGAACGACATCATCAGCTGCAGGAGAAATTGGCACTACAGTATCATCTACTGCATCTCCAAGATGAACTCAGCAAACAACGACGTGTTCGAGAAGAACAGCACCTTCACCAGGTAAGGAACCCCTGCATCATCAACAGAAGAACCTTCATGTCATATACCCTCCCACACCATATTCTTTCTCAAATCCAGGGCCATGCAGCTTAATGCAGCCAATTCCAGGGATATCATGCATCATCTGTTAGAAAACCATCTATAAAGTTGCAGCAGTCTCAGTGCTTATACTCCAACATTTTACGCATTAACCCTGAGAAGCAGATCTGATATTGATGTTTTCAAGGGAAAGCAATTAGCAATTCAGGATTTTTAACGGCCAAGCTTCCTATTTGTCTCTGGAATTGACTTGATAGTGGATCCCCAATTTTCTCTGTAACAGAGACATGTAACGTATGTGTGCACTTATCACCTCCCAGTGATGGTACTGTTGCTTAATCATTGTGACCTGAGAAAGCCGACAACGTTCAATTTGGGCAGATTTACTGCCAGGGAGGATGCAGGAAGTATGTCTTCTGGGCAGAACAACAACGTGGCCAACTTGTAATTCTGGGAGGTCAGGGACTCATCATTAGTTTGCACATATCAGCAAGTTGGTAATTTAACGGTTGATTAGGCCGAGGTGATCAGAATCCCGAACGTATTTAGCAGCAAATGTAGGACGAGACAGCTGTAGGTTACATATTCGACGCGGGTCCACCATTCTGGCGATTTGAGCCAATTTGAGCTGGTATTGCCACTCTGTGTCCGGACCGGTGTTGGCCGTGTTCCATGGTGATTTCCATACCAATGATGAAATGTTCCCTCATCTGTTGTCACTTCTTTCCTCACCAGGGAACTGATGCGGATCTAATCTTGTAGTAATGCTGAAACCAATACTAGAATGATGGAAATAAACAACTTGATTGCCATACTTATTTAGTATCCCACGCATCTGGGTTCTTCTTCTCAGTGTAAATTGGCACTTCGGAAACTTGTGATCTTTGCGCTTGATAGATGTTTCGAAATGAAAGCTCACAAAATTTCCTGCTTTGATAGAAAAGAAATATCTTGTTTCTCAGGTAAAAGGCAGTTTTTAAATTGACAAATATAGAAAATAATTTGTTTTTTGGGGGGGAATTCTTCATAACGGTTGTCAGGGAAACATTATGGAAGGCAATCAGTCAAGTTACTTTTTTCACAATGTTTGAGGTGATATGGTAAGAGCAACATGGAGACATGAGCTAATATTACCCTTTCTTGATGCCTCCAGAAATGAATGCTTACTTTTACAAACGTACAGAAAGAACCTGTGAAGATACTTACTAGAATAGACCGTCTCCGTGGTGTAGTGGTTAGAGCGTCCGCCTGGAGAGCGGAAGGTCGCGGGTTCGATCCCCGACCGCATCATACCAAAAGACGTTAAAATATGGTACTTGTTGGTCCCTGCCTGGCGCTCGGCATTAATGGGTACAACAAGGACTGGTCGGCTCGGAGTCAGTATACTGTGTCTGAGTGGGGTATTCATGCTTCACTGCGGCATGATATCTCAGTGGGCTAGCACTATAAAACCAGCTTAAGTCTGGGCTAGTACAAGCAGCCGCACATACACATACACACGTATGCACGTCGTCATATGAGTGAAATATTCTCAAGCACGACGTAAAACCCAATTTCACCTCACCTCACTTACTAGAATAGGTCTAATGCAATCAGTGTTTGTCGTATGAGCTGACTGGATTTGGTGGTCAGTCTCGGAGACTTAGTTGATTGTATGTCCTAGTAGCGCTGTGTTGTAGGAAGTTTTTGTCACTGGTTGTCTTGTAAGTTACAGACAGCTGTCATTTGGCTGAAATATACCTGTGTCATGTCAAACAATTATCAAACAAGCTAGCAGACAGAATCCATTAAGTACACAAGAAAACAAAAGTATATCACGCTGTTGCAGGTTTAAGCAGCCTCTAGCCCTCGTAGTACAATTGAAACATCTCTTTAGATCTTACTCAAGGATTAGCTGTATGATAACCAAATTATGAATACACTTCATTGAAGGACAAATTAAATTTAAACTTAGGCCTAAAAATAAATGTTGTGATTCTGATTACCCGACCGACCCATGAATTCTGGTGCCGACCCTATTTTTCATTAAGGTTTAAATAAAATAAGCTTTCAGATACCATTATTTTTTCCCGGCACCAACAGACATCTGTCATTCTGATAGAGAAAGTCGACATGATGGCTGCAAGCTTGATTGAATAAATAAACAATTACACATTGATAAATGTGTTATTAGTGTGTACTTTACGTCTAAAAAAATATGTAAAAAAAAATTAAATTCCTGCTTACCTACCCTAAATTTTAAAGAGGTGTAATCGGAATCACATTTTTTTAATTTGTCCTTAGTCCGGGGTTTTGGCCAAACGGACACTTCATCACTGACCTTCACTCCTTTACTGCAAGGTCTGCGAAAAAATTCATTTGTATGTATAACTTTGATAGACAGGATCCAATGATCTTTAGTTTTGCTGTGTATGTGGTAATTCTGAAGAAGAAACCTTTAAAAATGGAAATGTTATGACAGCTTACCAGTTTAAATTAGATAATTAAAAGGAAAACAAAATACAGTCAAAAGGGTATTCCCATTTAGAATATTCTTATCAAATATCAACAATTTACTTTTTATTTCATTTAAGGACTGATTGTATCGTACAGCTCATATTTTCTGTTTAGACCTATTTTGGATAAACAAGGATATATTCTGATCATATAATGGAAATTATTAATTCCCAAACATAGTGATGTGCCAGAGGATGTTGTTATGATGTGCTAATTGAGGTCATTAGCAGAACAATCAACACTGCAAATATGTCCTGCTGGTCCACCACCTGCCCAACACAGAACCTCACATGGTTCGGACATCGGAGGTGTGATATACAAATACAGTGTGTAAACACCTTCCTAAGCGTCTCCAAGCCTCTTTAAACATCACATCTAAAATACCCAGGTAAAGTCAAGCGTGCCACCTTGCAAAAAAACACTAACACTTCACTATGAAAATCCTGACTTTTGACTTGGCCATAAATTGCTTTTTTGGACGTTTTTCTTCCACTACATTTTTCCAGGTGTGCTATATCAAATATGATCCTGGTTTCAGTATTGTGTAGTAAACTTAATTATTCACCATGTTTGTGGACGTTATTGACAGAGAGAGATAGAGTATTGGGAATGCATGCGGTGGTAATATGAACAAAAGCTGATATGCTTAAAACAGACATGAAAGGCTCGTGATGTCAGGGCAAGCTAGCTAGGCGAACCATTGTGACCAATTACAACAATCACATGTAATGACACCAAGCTATGCAAATGCAATCGAGAAGGCTGGAGGGCCCAGGTCGTAGCTTTCAGGTATGTCGGTTGCGTGAGAGGGGAGCTTTTACAGAGCCAGCCCAACTCTTCGCCGCAAACGGGAGTTCTTTTCACACAGGGTTTTCAAGAGAGCTGAATCACTCTCTTCTAAAGGACTCCACCCGTCCTTGGAGTTGCAAAGCCGGTATTCTAAGCACAATTAAGATGTTAACAGTTGTTAGGTGAACTCGCAGGCTTTCCAGACAGTCCATCTTCGCCTACCTCGTCAAACCAACTGTCGAGCAATATTTCTCCCGATAGGGACAAACAGCTATCATACCTTCAACATTCACACGAGTGTCAAAGGGACCTTTACTGGGCGACCACGGCCAAGGTCACACTCTCCATACTGAAGCATTTCATCAACAGCTTGAGCTTGGTAAAGATTTCTCATGAAAGACTAGGCTTTCACGTACAAATCTTTTCATTTTGTATCGGTAAATAAATGATTTATTTATGAAAGAACTGAACAAATAAGAACTACCTGTGAAATCTGTACCTGTTTGGGAGGTTGAAAATACTCTTGATGAGGTTCAGTTTACTAACAGAGTAAATATATCAACCATTTATCATTTTCGTTTGAACATCTGCCGTGAAAGGCTTGTTTGACTTGAAAAATGTGTAACATTTTTTAGCTATAAAGTTTCCGATTATAATGCTTCAACTTTTGACATCCTTTTTGATGACATCCACTTTAAAAATCATCAATGACATGTTGTGAATTCCTACATCTAAGGGGGTGGTGGGGTAGCCTTGTGGATAAAGTGTTTGTTCATCACGCCTGAGGCCTGAGTTCAATTCCCCACATGGGTACAATGTGTGAAGCCCATTTCTGGTGTTCCCCACCGTGATATTGCTGGAATATTGCTGAAAATGCCGTAAAACCATACTCACTCACTCCTACATCTAAGACTCATAGTCAAATTCAACTCAACTGCTAAGTCGGTTTAAATGTCATGACCATCCGTCAAAAAAGTCTAAAGATTACACTGACTTGTGCAGAAGTTCATAGCAAATGAATAGCTAAAGAATAGCTAAAGAATATGTCAATATTAATGTGATGTTGCAGGAATATTGCTAAAAGCAGCATGAACTAAACTAGAATCACTCACTCATGAAGCTGCGATATAAATGTGTACTGCACAAGAATATTATAACCCGTCCTCGGCTAAGTATGAAGGAGTTTAGCACTGATGATGGGAAGCTGATACATAGAAGATCTGTTCATTTACAATCAGGGTATTATGAAACACTTCAATTATGGATCAAAATCATAGTCTCTCCCATGCCCAATATAAGACTAAGAGCCCCTGTAAAACCTTGCTTGTCTTTTGACAACCTTGTGTCGATCCTTATAGTTAAAGCATTAGCTCATAATACCAAGGGGTTCGAGGGGTGGTGGGGTAGCCCAGTGGTTAATGCGTTTGCTCGTCATGCCGAAGACCCTGGTTCGATTCCCCACATGTGAAACCCATTGCTGGTGTCCCCCGCTGTGATATTGCTGGAATATTGCTAAAGGCGGCGTAAAACCATACTCACTCACTCACTCACTTTGTTGTCACCACCTGGTTAATATTTGCTAAGTGTGGCATTAAGACACACTCACTCACTCACTTTACGTCCCACCGCCAGTAAATCTTAGTTGTTAGGGAAACAGTAGGTACATGACTTCATCC